CAGGGGCATGGAAGAGGAGAAGATGAACGAAATGAATGGGGGTACCACGGGGAAGGCAACAAGAGCCTGATAGTGGCCCACTCGCAGTTATCACAAAATTTCCCACAAAAATTTACATTGTTAATGCCAGCCTTAGACTTAGGAGGGGGCAGTCAGCATGGATCCCATCCACCTCAGATCCCCCGTCTGTGTTTGGCATCCAAGGAGGTCAGCAATGAGACAACGCTGCATTGTGCTGCGTTTTCTGAAGCTTCCTCCGAATAGGAAGAAATATCAGAAGAGATATTTCAGCACTTGCAGGACATAGTGGACTTTGGTAAAAATGTCATGAAAGAGTTTGTTGGGGAGAACTGTGCACTGTGAGGAAGTTGTTCAGCTGCCTTTACAGTCTGTGAAACAACTATGTTTAAAGTTTCATTCTGAAAGACCAGAGTCTCATTGTGACAAGGAGCTGGACACCTTTAGTGGATAGGCTATGTGCCTTCCCAACCTCACCAGACTTCAGACCTATGGTATTGCAGTGCTCTGGCCAATTCTGTGTAGAGATTAAGCTACAAAGTGGGTTCATTCCTTTCTAGAGCAGTTTTACCCATGAGATGAAGCATAAAGTGTGTAGCTACTCGAGGTAGCAACTGGGAAGTGGAAGCTATTAATGAACCCATGCAATTGTATGAAAATGCTGCATGAAGAATATTTTGTTGATTGTAAATTTTTGTGGGAAATTTTGTGATAACTTGAAAATTATACTTGTTTGAATCAAGGAAAAAGAGAACAAACTTTCTCTCTATATATTCATGGATATGCCCCCAAAACATAATGTAAAGTGAAAAAAATGCACACTGAAGGATGTATTTTTAATTACTTCTATACCTTTTTATAATGTGTAAACCTATCATAATATAAGATTTTGGCTATATAAATGTATACAAAAGAAAAAAGCCCAAGACTCTCACCGACCTCAGGTAGAGAGGAGAGTAAGTGGGGAGAGAGGGAAGGAACTAGAATTGGGGAAAAAAATGACAGGGACTTAACCTCTACCAGCCACATTTTATTTCTTTGTTTTTTGGTACGGGGGATCAAACTCAGGACCTTGCACTTGTAAGGCAGGTGACAAAATCGCTGAGCTAAATCCCCAGTCCTACATTTTATTTCTTTAAAAAATGATTCCAGGATATAAATGTCAAACACTAATACTTGTTAAATCCCGGTAGCAGGTACATGGATATCAGTTGTACTATCATATGTACTTCAATGTATACTCAAAATATTTCATTATAAAATTTTGAAAATGAAAGGCAAGAGGCCTGGTAGGAAATGGAGCTCAGTCGTAGAGTGCTTGCTCAAGTGTGCACAGCCTTGAGTTCCATTCCTAGTATCACCAAAAAAATCAAAGAAAAGGTTGAGGTCCCTCAACCTCTAACTTGTAGAACTACATGCATTTTAATCTTAAAACTTATATAATAATTTACTCCTGGGCTGGGCATTTAGCTCAGTGACACTGCACCTGCCTGGCAAGTGCAAGGTCCTGAGTTCAATCCCTGGTA